ATTCTATCGACCGCAGTACTTGGCAAGGCCCTAACTTTTTCGAGATATCCTTTGGTGTATTTTGAGCATCACATCGTCCGAAATGTTGCCTTTTCAAGGCCATGATGAGGTGCCACATCGACGGGAAGGGGAGGGGAGGGGGATTTTTTTGGAGTTATCTAAAAGAGGTGGGAGGGGATCTGTTTGAATTATATAAAAAAAAAGATGTATTTTATTATTTTTCAGATAAATTTGGTAGTGTGTCAGCTATTATCACTACCATTAGCTTATTTACACTATACCATACTGAGTCCAGCAAATGTCACACGAACAACACGTATTGCTTCACCGGCAATCATTGGCCTAGTTTTTTGCTATTTCTGCTTTGGCAAGTATGTTTTTTTAGGCTTTTTTTAGTCGCAAAAGTTCGTTTTATAATAGTCATTTGAGAATTTTTGAAAATAATATATAGAAAACGCAAAATCCTTCACGTTTTTTATTTTATGGCGAATTAGAATTTTTTTGTGCTTTTATTTTTTTTTTATTTTTTTGCTAAAAATATGGGATTGCTCGAGATATATTTATTTTGATACTTTGCTCAGCTGTTCCTTCCACCATTACATTTTCTTCCTGTCATTGTTACAACTGGCAACTTCTCCATTCTTTTCTATTTTGGGCTTTTCTTATCCGCAATTTTAATTTCAGGAAAAAATAAATAAATTTCCCTCTTCTTTCCTAAATTACGTGGTTGGGGTCCCAGAAACAGTCAAATGGTTTATGCAGCATTAATGCAAAATCGTAATTTTTTGATTGGGTTTTTCCAAAGAATGGAAGAAACGGGACTAAAAGTTGCGCTTATTGCACCTCGTTTCTTAATTTTTCATCCGCCTTATCAAAATTATACTTTTAAATTTAATAATGGAAAGCTATAATAAGAAGGAATGGAATAAAGAGAGAAAAAAGAAAAAAAAGGTAAGAAATGAAAATTAGAAAATTCATGTTGGATTATTATAATTTTCTGTGTTTTTTTTTTTTTTTTTTCAAGAATTATTCCTTCTATAAAGAGATTATTCAAAAAACTTTCAATAAAATTAACTCTTTTTAATGGTTTTTTCTTTAATTGAATTTTCTGCTTCGAACTGTTTGCTTTTTTTGCTGTAGTGCAATGAAACATTTGGTATCGCTTGTC